AGGGGGAAACACTCAAAGATGGGGCAAAAGCAAAGTGCCCTCCTGAACCTTGAAGGAACCAAGGCCCAGAGGTGCAGCAGCCCCAGAGGTCCAGGGAACAACCTCGTTAGAACAGGGTGGGCCCCTCCATCAGCCAGCACAGGCCAAGCCTCCCTTCCCCTGAGAGCAGGGCCACCTGCCCTCTGAGACAGCCCCATGTACCAGGAGGCCCGCGATGTAAGTGAAGGCGGCGGCTGTCGTCAGGAGGATGGGCACAGACCAGTCACTCCAGTAGCCCATGCGATTGTAGAGGTACCTGCAGGAGGAGAAAGGGCCGGGGTCAGACCTCTACTGGAAGTTCCCTTGGGCCGAGCTCAGGGGCCAGGCCCTGCCCCCTCTGTAATGATGTCATTGTGCCCTGATCATCAGTCAGGCTCATGGTGGGCACCTGGCATGCCAAGAGCACAAAGAAGAAAACAATTTCCCATAGTTCCACTGCCCAGAAGTACCAAACCGTGGCTGATTCTTCTTCCAGTGCATTTCCTCCCTACGTGTATATATTTGTATAAACAGCAGAGCTGGGACCTGCTGCTTACAGCATAAGTGGTCAAAGTTTGGGCCCCACTCTGCCTCTTACTGGCTTGTAGAGGGACCCTGTAGGGGCGACAGGCTTCGCCAATTCGAAGATGCCATCGATCATGACATTCATCTCAATTTCAATGTGAAAATAAGGGGTTTTAGATGAATAAAATGCCCTTCATAGAATTTCCTGAGGATGGGGAGATGCACGTGGTTAAGTGCGCAATCAATTATCTTATTATAACACAAGCATTTACTGATGTCAGTAAAAATCCTAGGAAAATGTGATTTTTTAACAGCCACGTGGTCTTCTATTGAATTAATGTACCATAGGTAGCCAATCTATTAATAGCAGTTAATCGTTTCCAATTATTCACTATAATAAATTAACACAAAAAAGAAAAATTTGCACATATCTTTCTGTATTAGTAATTATTTCCTTAGGATAGCCTCCTAACAAATAGAATTATCAGGCCAAGGGGAATGGACTTTTAAAGGCTCCTGATAGGGCCAACTGAGTGGTGCATTGGTTAAGAGTTGGCTTGGTGGCCGGCCGAGTGGCACGATGGTTAAGAACTGGCTTGGGACGCCAGAGGGCCACGGTTCGGATCCTACATATGAGGGCCAGTGACACTGCCCTCTATAGCTAAGATGCTGAACAACAGCTCAACCTGGAGCTGGGCTGCCATGAGTCGCCCGCGACGGCATAGGCTGCAGCCCCTGTGGCAGTG